ATGTCAAGGCCGAGACTCCACGTGGTAACCACAGCAACCATCATGTTTGCCGTCTGGATGGAAACTTTACTTCCGGTTAATGCACTAAATGATCCAGGTATGTTAGTTTGTTGGTTGTCTGTCTGCCCTCTGTCTGTCTTTCATTCTTGCATTCTGTAGGAAAAACATCTTAACGATGGGAATCAAACAGCTACCAATCCTGGAAACCTGTACAGGCATTTACAGTTCTTGCTTGTCCTTGACTGGACGTACACAATCCTATACCTTGCTGTCCTTTTTAGGATGAAATTTTTCGTTTTTTGAAGCCCTACTCTGGCTCATGCCAGGGGCCGCAATATAGTCTGGCCATAAATATGGTCTAAGGGCTTAACGCGGTTTCTGGGACCTCTCCACGGTGATCCTCACCCGCATGGTTTGCACATTGTGTGATCAGGTGTTTATCGCTTGTGTAATGTCCTGGTGGGGTAGAAAGTCAGTCAGTCAGCTTTGACTGGACGTTGCAAAGCCATCTTCAGCATTATTTGGCTACTGTGTTTTTTTTTAGCAGTAGTTTGCCATTGCTTAAACACAGTGGCTCTAAACCTTCCTAATACCCTTGAATACAGTTCCCTCATGTTGTGGCGACCCCTAGACAATTATTTTCCATCATAGCTTTAATGAATATATTTTTTCTGAAGCACCGATTAGTCTATTAAAGATAGGTCTAGCCCTATATACCTAGTACGCGTGATTGCGTGTAAAATGGTCCTTTACTTTACTTAATGTGTAATTAAATTAATGTTTAATCGAAAGGAGAGCTTGCAGCTGAACTAATTAACATTACTATTTATAACATAATGTGTTGAGGGAAATTATCTTGGAGAACTGGGACTTGCGTCAGAAAATGTGCACATTCATTGGCCAGTTCGTGAGAATAGAAAAGGAATTATTGTGAGACCTCGGAATGCGAACTTTTAATTCCAACAACTTGGAATCCGAACGAAATGTTAAAGTAAATTTTGCCTCAGAACTTTAACGACGACAGGGAAACGGAACGCATAGCAACAGCGTCGGCACCTTATCAGCAGTAGAGTGATGAATTTACACACACAAATTGCATCTGGGGAGAAAGAAGAAAAAGTTGAAAGAATTATCATTGCTGCATTTCAAGATCTTTTGACCATGTGAGTTGAACCCCAACAGGTTGTGAAGGGGCGGCACTCTGGCAGAATGTTAACTTAATGAGGGATAACATTTTCTCTATTTTTATAGGAAAAATAATTACTTTGTAATTTGAACTGGAATGTTTTGGAATTCGATCGCCACTTCCAAAGTGATTGTGTTCGAATTCTGATGTAGCGGCACAGCTGAAACCACGCGAACCATAGAGGGCAAGAGAGGCATGGGTAGAAAATAGAGACTAAATAGGGGGCAAGAGAGGCATAGGTAGAAAATAGAGACTAAATAGAGGGCAAGAGAGGCATGGGTAGAAAATAGAGACTAAATAGAGGGCAAGAGAGGCATAAGTAGAAAATAGAGACTAAATAGAGGGCAAGAGAGGCATGCGTAAAAAATAGAGACTAAATAGAGGGCAAGAGAGGCATAGGTAGAAAATAGAGACTAAATAGGGGGCAAGAGAGGCATGGGTAGAAAATAGAGACTAAATAGGGGGCAAGAGAGGCATGGGTAAAAAATAGAGACAAAATAGGGGCAAGAGAGGCATAGGTAAAAAAAAGAGACAAAATAGGGGGCAAGAGAGGCATAGATAATAACTAGAGATAAAATAGAGGGCAAGAGAGGCATAGATAGAAACTAGAGACAAAATAGGGGGCAATAGAGGCATAGGTAAAAACTAGAGACAAGACAGAGGGCAAGAGTGGCATAGGTAGAAACTAGAGACCAAAAAGAGGGCAAGAGAGGCATAGGTAGAAACTAGAGACAAAACGTTGGCATAGGTAGAAACTAGAGACAAAACGTTGGCATAGATAGAAACTAGAGACAAAACGTTGGCATAGGTAGAAACTAGAGACAAAACAGAGGCAAGAGATGCATGGGTAGAAACTAGAGACATGCTTGTTAGACGCTTCAGTATCTGGTGGCGGAAAAACATCTTATTCACAAGTGTGTGTCAGTACAGTTGAGTTGATTCAAGAACCGATACCACAGCACTCTGGGCATTCCCATAAGCTTTCCGTCCCCATTGCCAGCAGCCAACGAAAAGATCCTATACCAATGGGGCCAGTCGCATTCTGATTAAACGTCTGTCTGGCCTTTTCTGTGAGCGTCTAGTATCGACCAGATTCCCTCATCACTCTCCGCTGCATCACTCTCACCAGACTGTGGTGATCCATCTGCTCCTCCAAATTGTACACGTTCTCCCACAAGGCCCTAACCACGTTTGCCTTATCGTGTATCAATATTCAACCAAGCTGAGCAAGGCCTACTAGTCTGTCTGCCTGTTCATTTCCCAACACACCAGCATTCCTCAGAGAAAAGATGCGGACAATGTTCAACACCCATGACCTCAAAAACGAAGCTTACCACTTTGCACGAAACCCGCCTGTCTTGACCGTCCTCAGCATGCTTTCTAAGTCAGTTACAATCACGAGGTGTGTGTGTGTGTTTGTGTGTGTGTGTGTCGTTTTCTCTAACCAGCAGAACGCTGCCTCCACCTCCATTCAGTATAAAGTATGGTGCAGAAATTCGGACAATTAACAAGCTTGTAGAAAAATGAACTCTGAAGATGTGAGTATACAGAGCAATAGGTCGTACTTTATAGAAACAAAGAGTCAAGTGCAAATTTCAGGAGAGATTGCGAATAAAAAGAGATTTACTGGGAGACAAAAACTATTTTAATATTTTGACAGTGGTAAAAGACAAAAACCACACTGGAGAGAAAAGTCGAAGTCAAAAGACAATGAAATAAGTGGAAGAAAAACTAAAGGGACAAACGAACAGCAGCTTGTTTCGAAACCTGAGACATTTTGGCCGTGTTCAAAATCATGGTGTGGCGGAGAGAGCGATGTTAAAAGATACAGTTTATGGAGAACAAGACGGAAATCTCCTGCACAATGGAGATTCATTGGTTCTGAACGCCTTTAAAAAAGGTGAAGGAACTTTTTTTTTGCACGCCTTGGGGCGTATTGGGCATATAGGGCTAGACAAATATGTTATTGATCAATCGGCTTTGGGTGGGTGATTTAGTCAACATTTACTTGTTACCAACTCAAGATATGAAAGCATATAGGGCTAGGGATTGGTTAAAGAAAGAGAGAATTTTCGTTGTGCCCGGATGGTAGGTACATTCTGTAAAGGATTTGCTGATTAATAATGATGTAGATGATGATGTTGATGATAATAATGATGAGGATAATGATGATGATAATGATGATGATGATAATGATAATGATGATGATAATGATGATGATGATGATGATAATAATGATGATAATGATGATGATGATGATAATAATGATGATGATAATGATGATGATAATGATGATGATGATAATGATGATGATAATGATAATGATGATGATAATGATGATGATGAAGGATTATTGCTCACTTTTTTTTAAAATTTCTCTAAATATTGCAATGCTATTGTGTCACTGGTAGTCACCGTGGTATGACGGCTTGGTGCTCGCCCTTGGGATTCGAAGGTCGTGAGTTCAGATCCTGATAGAACCCACTTGTTTTGTTTACGCTTGCCTCCCAGATCAACCCAGCCTTGAGTGGTACCAGGTGCAGTTCTGGGAAGTAAAGGCAGCCGGCGTGATGTTGTCCACATCACCCACCAAGTACCAATCGGTCTATACAATTTTGGTCTAGTCCTAAATGCCCATTATGCCATAAGGTGCTGAAAAGGGTCCTATTCTTACTTCACTGTTATTGCGTCCCCAGCGGGACGTATGATGCCACTAGTTAATTTGTGTTGCTCTACCAGCAGATCACTGCCGAAATGCCTGCTACCAGTTGAACAGACTCATCGAAAGAGCTCGCAGAAACCCCAACAATGTACAGAGCACGTTTTTAAGTAACTGCTACTCGAAATGTCTCCCAGGTAGGTTCTCACTTGTTTCTTCTCTAAGAATCACAACTGTCTCCCAGGTAGGTTCGCACCTGTTTCTTCTCTAGGTATTACAACTGTCTCCCAGATAGGTTCTCACCTAGCTGGGAGACAGTTGTTTCTTCTCTAGGAGTCACAGCTGTCTCCTAGCTAGGTTCTCACCTGTTTCTTCTTTAGGAACCACAACTGTCTCCCAGTTAGGTTCGCACCTGTTTCTTCTCTAGGAACCACAACTGTCTCCCAGCTAGGTACTCACTTGTTTCTTCTCTAGGAACCACAACTGTCTCCCAGATAGGTTCTCATATGTTTCTTCTCTAGGAACCACAACTGTCTCCCAAGTAGGTTCTCACCTGTTTCTTCTCTAGGAACCACAACTGTCTCCCAGCTAGGTTCTCACTTGTTTCTTCTTTAGGAACCATAACTGTCTCCCAGCTAGGTTCCCACCTGTTTCTTCTCTAGGAACCACAACTGTCTCCCAGATAGGTTCTCACATGTTTCTTCTCTAGGAACCACAACTGTCTCCCAGCTAGGTTCTCATCTGTTTCTTCTTTAGGAACCACAACTGTCTCCCAGCTAGGTTCTCACCTGTTTCTTCTCTAAGAACCACAACTGTCTCCCAGGTAGGTTCTCACCTGTTTCTTCTCTAGGAACCACAACTGTCTCCCAGGTATGTTCTCACCTATTTCTTCTCTAGGAACCACAACTGTCTCCCAGGTAGGTTCTCACCTGTTTCTTCTCTAAGAACCACAACTGTCTCCCAGCTAGGTTCTCATCTGTTTCTTCTCTAGGAACCACAACTGTCTCCCAGGTAGGTTCTCACCTGTTTCTTCTCTAAGAACCACAACTGTCTCCCAGCTGGGTTCTCACCTGTTTCTTCTTTAGGAACCACAACTGTCTTCCAGCTAGGTTCTCATCTGTTTCTTCTCTAGGAACCACAACTGTCTCCCAGGTAGGTTCTCACCTGTTTCTTCTCTAGGAAACACAACTGTCTCCCAGCTAGGGTTTTGACATATTCATGGCATTGTGGTGCTGGGGTGTCTGTGGATTACCTACCTCCCCGGGCAGCAGCTAGAAATGCCCTGTACCAGTTCTAAAGGAAATATGGGTTGTGTTTCTGCCTTTTCTTTAACACGTAGCTAAGGTGGGGCTCACAGTGTTCTCATTCCCCGCCACCAGATTGCCTGCAGGTTTCGCTGAGCTCTTCATGTCTCTAAGCATGGCCTAAGCATGAGTAGTTGGGGCAACTGGATCGTCCCCATCCTTAAAACCAAAAAGCCTCCAGATGACCCCAAAAGCTACCGCCCGATATCCTTAACATCATGCTTGGGCAAAGTTGCAGAAAGAATGATAAACAGGCGCTTATATTGGTTCCTTGAGAGTTCTGGTGTTCTATGCCATGAACAGGCAGGCTTCAGAACCAACAGCTGCACAGAAGACCAGCTGTTCAGACTGACACAAAGAATACATGATGGCTTCCAGAATAAGAAACACACAGTGGCAGTCTTTGTCGATCTCCAGCAGGCCTATGACAGAGTATGGAGAAAAGGTCTCCTGATGAAGATGATGAGCATAGGAATACATGGCAGATTGTATAACTGGGTGAAATACTTCCTGATAGATAGAACAATCCAGACTAAGATGCACAACGCAATCTCTTCTAAAGAAGTCTTGGAGGAGGGCTTGCCACAAGGCTCATCATTGAGCTGTACACTATTCCTAATCTTTATCAATGACCTGCCAGAACAAATCAAGGCCGAAAAAGCCTTGTACGCTGATGACCTAGCAATATGGCAGAGTCATGAAAATGTGGAAAGTGGAGCCCAAAGACTGAATGGAGACCTTAGAAGACTGCATGATTACTGCCAAAGATGGAAACTCAAGATTAACTGTGCAAAGACGGTCTACACAATCTTTACCAAAAGCCACCATGTAGCAAGGAAGAATATTAACCTGAGGTTAGACAAACACCAAGTGATGAAAGAAGAGCATCCCACATACCTTGGAGTCACACTTGACCCACAGCTCAGCCTCAAGAACCATATTGAAAACATCACGAATAAGGCATTGAGGCGGTGACAGTTATTAAAGAGACTTGCAGGTACATCATGGGGATCAGACAAGGAAACTCTGAGGGGCTTATACCTAGGATATGTTCGCTCTGTGATAGAGTACAACAACTCACTGCTTACAACTTGTTCCAAAACTAACCTAGAGACTCTTGACAGAGTACAAAATAAGGCCCTCCGATTAATCTGCGGAGCTATGCAGTCTACACCAACTGCTGCATGTGAAATCCATACAAATGTGGAACCCCTCGGGTTGCGGAGAGAAAAAGCCACTTTAGAAATTTATGAAAGATGCGTTAGGAAAAATCGTAACCATCCTAATAGACATCTTGTAGAAAACTGGGAACCCAAACAAAGAATAAAGCACAAATCGGTTTTACACTGTGTTAATGAAATTCAGGACAGATACCACCTCCCAGAAAGACGTCAAGGAATTCAGAATGTTGCAAAAAACCTACCACCACATGCTCGCTTTAAAGCTCCAGAAGTCCAAACTAAATTGGTAGGCGAGGAAACCAAACAGTCCGACCCAATCGCTCTTATGAACTCATCACTAAAGACCGTTGATTCTTACCCCCAAGAATGGATACATGTCTATACTGATGGATCAGCATTTAAAGCTACCATTAAAGCAGGTTACGGAATCTACATAGGTTATCCCGATGGATCTGTTGAAGAGATTTTTGATGCATGCAAGGAATTCTGTTCAAACTATGAAGCTGAAATAATTGCACTGGAAACAGCTGTATACCACCTAAAGACTGTAATGGATGTTTACCCCTCAAAGGTCCAAAATATTGTCATCTTCACAGATTCAATGTCTGCCCTTCAAGCTCTGGAGGGCAATGAACGCTGCAGAACTGACATAGCCAAGATAATCCTGGATGCCGATCAGCTTATTACCTCATTCAACATCAGAATAGTGATGCAGTGGATTCCAGGTCACTCCGGCACACCAGGTAATGACAGAGCTGACAGATTGGCAAAGAAAGGAGCAACACAAGAACAACCACCTACAGCGACAACCCTCCAGACAGCAAAAACACTGATAAGAGCTATAAACAAAGAGACTTGGTTAAACAGATGGGCCATGGGAGACACTGGAAGAGAGGTTTATAGACATATGTCTGGCCCTGATCCTAATGACAGCATTAACCATCTAACAAGAAGGGACCAGGCCACCATCTTCAGACTTAGAACGCAACATACTCCACTCAATGGACACCTAAACAGAATACAGCCACAACACTCCCCAGAGTGCCAGCTATGTAACTACCCCTACGAAACTGTTGAACACCATCTCTTTGAGTGCCCAAAACTCAGTAAGACAAGAAGAACGCTACTCCCTCCGAGACCAGACAAGTGGAACACCTTGTACGGAGAAAAAGAACAGCTTGTGAAAACATGCAAATTCCACTACATGGCATTGGGCCAAAGGGCGAAAGCTCATGCGCCGCTGGATCGATAACAACAACAACCCAGCTAGGTTCTCACCTGTTTCTTCTTTAGGAACCACACCTGTCTCCCAGCTAGGTTCTCACCTGTTTCTTCTCCAGGAACCACAACTGTCTCCCAGGTAGGTTCTCACCTGTTTCTTCTCTAGGAACCACAACTGTCTCCCAGCTAGGTTCGCACCTGTTTGTTCTCTAGGAACCACAACTGTCTCCCAAGTAAGTTCTCACCTGTTTCTTCTCTAGGAATCACAACTGTCTCCCAAGTAGGTTCTCACATGTTTCTTCTCTAGGAATCACAACTGTCTCCCAGCTAGGTTCTCACCTGTTTCTTCTCTAGGACTCACAACTGTCTCCCAGCTAGGTTCTCACCTGTTTCTTCTCTAGGATAAACAACTGTCTCCCAGATAGGTTCTCACCTGTTTCTTCTCAAGGACTCACAACTGTCTCCCAGCTAGGTTCTCACTTGTTTCTTCTCTAGGAACCACAACTGTCTCCCAGCTAGGTTCGCACCTGTTTCTTCTCTAGGAACCACAACTGTCTCCCAAGTAAGTTCTCACCTGTTTCTTCTCTAGGAATCACAACTGTCTCCCAAGTAGGTTCTCACATGTTTCTTCTCTAGGAATTACAACTGTCTCCCAGCTAGGTTCTCATCTGTTTCTTCTCTAGGACTCACAACTGTCTCCCAGCTAGGTTCTCACCTGTTTCTTCTCTAGGATCAACAACTGTCTCCCAGATAGGTTCTCACCTGTTTCTTCTCAAGGACTCACAACTGTCTCCCAGCTAGGTTCTCACTTGTTTCTTCTCTAGGAACCACAACTGTCTCCCAGCTAGGTTCTCACCTGTTTCTTCTCTAGGAACCACAACTGTCTCCCAGCTAGGTTCGCACCTGTTTCTTCTCTAGGAACCACAACTGTCTCCCAGCTAGGTTCGCACCTGTTTCTTCTCTAGGAACCACAACTGTCTCCCAAGTAGGTTCTCACATGTTTCTTCTCCAGGAACCACAACTGTCTCCCAGCTAGGTTCGCACTTGTTTCTTCTCTAGGAACCACAACTGTCTCCCAAGTAGGTTCTCACCTGTTTCTTCTCTAGGAACCACAACTGTCTCCCAGGTAGGTTCTCACCTGTTTCTTCTCTAGGAACCACAACTATCTCCTAGGTAGGTTCTCACCTGTTTCTTCTCTAGGAACCACAACTATCTCCTAGGTAGGGTAATCACGGTTTCTCTTCATTTCAGAGAATGGCGTCTGAGGGTTAATTTGCAGGAAAACTAGGCAGAAGCAGAACCCTAACGAACATGGATACATGACATTGAAAATGCATTCGCAATTGCAGCATATAGAGCCGGAGAATCGGTTAGAGGGAGACTTTCTGGCGGGCTTAGACGAAGAACAGAGCCACACCTAAAATGGTTCGGCCACTTAGTGAGAACGAATGCAACGATATCGGCAACAAGAGCGTATAACAAGAGAATGAAAACATAAGACATATATAACCCTTATAGAAATATGAATCAAGGAAGTCACTGGCTACTTATGACCGACCGACATTACAACATTCCAAGAAACAGCGCGCCCTGGCTAGGCCACCTATCATCTAAACTGCGACGCTATTGGCACAAAGCAGATTTTGACGCACACAAAAAAAAGAAGATGTTTGCTTGGATTTTGTTATTACCTAATCACTTGTTAAATGCAAGTTAGTAGAACCTCTGCCCCACTACACATACAGCTCAATGGTTCTGCTCTGAATCAAGTTAGGGAGTTTAAATATCTAAGAAGTATAATCACAGAAAATGGTAGAATTGACAGAGAAATAGAAACCAGATACCAGAAAGCAAGTGCACTTATATACAAATTGTCACCATTATTAAGACATCCAAGCATAACTATGAGTGCAAACAGACATATTATTAATAGCATATTCATTCCAACATTAAGCAACCAGTGCCAAACATAGACACTATCTAAAGCAAATATACGCAAAATCACCACCTGCGAGATGCGGTGCCTGAGAAAAGCAGCCAACCTAACCATCCGAGATCGAGTGAATAATGAAACTATCAGGCAAATTGTGGGAACGACACCTTGTACTAGATTCATCGAGAAACAGCAGATTGTGGTTTGGCCATCTCGTTAGAATGCCTCAAGATCAAATACCATCACAAGCACTACATCTCAAAAGATCAGCTACAAGAACAAGAGGACGGCCGCGGGAAACATGGATCGACAACATTAAAAACACTCTACGCCTTCATGGCATGACAATAGCCATTGGCAGCCAACGTGCACTGGATCGCAAATTATTCCTACCCACGGTGCTTAACGGCAGAAGTAGTTTACGATGATGATGACTAGTTAAATTTATTTTAAAAACCAATACACGAGTGCGTAAAGGAACTGCCATTGGGCAAACTCATTAGGGGTGTTTCTTTCAAAGACAGAGTTGCACAAGAGACAATGAACCAGCAGTCTGCAAACAAATAACCAGATCTGTAAAACGGTTGAACATGCAAAACTGGAACAAGACTAAACACAAGAAGTGGACGAACAGCCAGAACTTTCAGCCGGATATAAAAGGCAATGAAAAAGTAGCAAATGGCTAAACGTGTGAATGAATAACATAATACATGAATGAAAGTAGGGGACATGTTTTCACTGAAAAACAGAATTTAGACACATAGACTGACTGACTGACTTTCCACCCCACCAGGACATCACACAAGCGATAAACACCCGATGACACAAAGTGCCACTATGTGGATGAGGATCACCCGTGGAGAGGTTCCAGAAACCGTGTTCAGCCTTCAGGCCATATTTATGGCCAGGCTATATTGCGGCCCCTGGCAAAAGCCAGAGTAGGGCTTCAAATAATGAAAAATGTCATCCTAAAAAGAACGAGAAGTACTATCATTATTATTTAGACACACACTTAATTGTTTATAATGTATACACATGTGTATTCTGCCTAATCCACAGTAACAAACAATGCCCAGCAACCCGCAACAACAAGAAGTACAACAACAACAACAACAACGCCAGAAGTTTTCAGAAGCCCAGGTAACAACAAATTTTACAAGCTTCCGGCCACACGTACCCCGAGAGCAATGATGCAATTTTTTTTAATTGACTGACTGATTGATTGCCTGATTGATTGATTCATTTATTCATTTTTTTAACCTGGCCTGTGTGCCCCGAGAGCAGTTATGCCAGTTTGTGATTGATTGACTGATTGATTGATTGCCTGGCTCGATAGCGTAGTTAGTTAAAGCTGACATAGCGGTGACCGGGTGACGAACTCCTTGTGGTCCGGGTGTACGCCCGGGGTTAGGCAGAAAAGCCGCATTTTCCCCAGATTTACGGTATCTATCCTGGAATCAAGGCCAAATGGTTGCGATATCCAAAATAACGAGCCAAAGGGTTAAGAACTCATGGTTTCTGGATACTTGGAAAAAAAAAAATGATTGATTAATTGATTCAATCATTCAATTATTCAACCCGACCAGAGGGCACCGAGCTCAATTATGTCAGTTTGTGATTGATTCAATTTTTCAACCCGACCTGAATTCCACGAGATAATATATGTCAGTTTGTATTTGACTGACTGATTGATTCATTTATTCATTAGTTAATTCATTTTTTCACACTGGCCTGAGTGCCCCACAGAGCAATTATGTGACTGATTGACTGATTGATTTATTGATTCATTCATTTATTTATACAGCCCAGCCTGAGTGTCTCAAAAGCAGTTTTGTCAGTTGTGATTGACTGATTGAATGATTCATTCATTTCTTCATCTTATTTATTCCTTCATTTATTTATTCCCGAGAGCTCTTATGTCAGTTTGCAATTGACTGATTGATTGATTCATTCATTCATTCAATTATTCAACCCAAACTGAGTACCTCGAGAGAACTTATGTCAGTTTGTGATTGACTGACTGTTTGATTGAATCTTTCATTCATTTATACAACCCGGCTTGAGTGCTTGGAAAGCAGTTAGGTCAGTTGATGATTGACTGACTGACTGGCTAATTGATTCATTCATTCATTTATTCAATCTGGCCTGAGTTCCCCAAGAGCAACAATGTCTGTAATTGATTGATTAGTACGACCTGACCACACCTACCCTGAGTGCAGTGATGTCAATCTTTGATTCATTCATTCATGTATACAACAGGAGCAGCGCGTACCCTGAGTGCAGTGATGTCAATCTTTGATTCATTCATTTATGTATACAACAGGAGCAGCGCGTACCCTGAGTGCAGTGATGTCAATCTTTGATTCATTCATTTATGTATACAACAGGAGCAGCGCGTACCCTGAGTGCAGTGATGTCAATCTTGGATTCATTCATTCATTCATGTATACAACATGAGCCACACGTACCTGAAGTGCAGTGATGTCAATCTTGGATTCATTCATTCATGTATACAACATAAGCCACACGTACCCGAAGTGCAGTGATGTCAATCTTGGATTCATTCATTCATGTGTACAACATGAGCCACACGTACCCAAAGTGCAGTGATGTCAATCTTGGATTCATTCATTCATTCATTCATTCATTCATTTATTCATTCCTTCATGCATGTATACAACATGAGCCACACGTACCTGGAGTGCAGTGATGCCAATCTTGGATTCATTCATTCATGCATGTATACAACATGAGCCACCCGTACCCGGAGTGTAGTGATGTCAATCTTGGATTCATTCATTCATGCATGTATACAACATGAGCCACCCTACCCGGAGTGTAGTGATGTCAATCTTGGATTCATTCATTCATGTATACATGAGCCACGTGTACCCGTAGTGCAAAGATGTCAATTTGTGAATGATTTATTTGTTACAGTATGTTTTCATTACACAGTCACTGGTTGTGATCAATAACAGGGGAGACAAATACATATCCTTTCACTTCAGTTTCAACTGCAGTCCAATCACTTAAACAATTATCTGTTCGCACTGCACACTTTGAACCTCCAGGAGCCGCGTTAGCGCAGTCGATAGGAGGCTGGCTTTCAAATCAAGCTGCGACTTGTTGCAGCCCACGGCAGGTGTTCGAAACCGGGCGGTCTCCCGGGTTCATCCAGCCTCTAGGTAATGGGTATCAAAGTTAACACTCTGGGGCAAATGGAGGAACGTCGCTGTAGCTATGTAATTGCGTGCGGACGGCGACACAGGCTGACAATTTCTTATCAGCTGTCTGCACTGGTGGCAGAGCACTTATGGTTTATAACCGTGGGCAATGACGCTGGTTCACATCTCCCGACTTTACTTTTACCTGTTTACTCTGAACCTTTATATATTGCTTTCATAATGACATACAAAAGTCCCTCAAAGCAATTTTCTGGCATTGCCCATCTTTATTTTGAATATTAGTTTGCGGTGTAGTTTGGGCCATTGACGTGTTGTGACCTAATCAGCTGTGACATTCTCCAATCTCCAGGTTGTGGGATCCAGACCATGAACAGATACCGGATTGTTGGAGGCACGGATGCTTCAGAATGTGAGTTTCCTTGGGTGGTCGGCATTTCAATCGGCTCTAACTTCTGTGGAGGGGCGGTGCTCGACAATCTGCATATACTCACGGCAGCCCATTGTTTGAGGGATCGGTGAGTTGTACGTGTAAGAGAGATGTTAATGTGCAAGAGAGATGTTAATGTGTAAGAGAGATGTTAATGTGTAAGAAAGATGTTAATGTGTAAGAGAGATGTTAATGTGTAAGAGAGATGGTAATGTGTAAGAGAGACGTTTATGTGTAAGAGAGATGTTTATGTGTAAGAGAGATGTTAATGTGTAAGAGAGATGTTAATATGTAAGAGAGATGTTAATGTGTAAGAGAGATGTTTATGTGTAAGAGAGATGTTAATGTGTAAGAGAGATGTTTATGTGTAAGAGAGATGTTAATGTGTAAGAGAGATGTTTATGTGTAAGAGAGATGTTAATGTGTAAGAGAGATGTTAATGTGTAAGAGAGATGTTAATGTGTAAGAGAGATGTTAATATGTAGCAGAGATGTTAATGTTAGGATCATTGTTGTCAATATTGTATCATCATCTCAAAATTGATTAATTTCAACATTATCATAAATGATTTTAGTATTTTTCTTTCTTTCCTTTGTCTTCCTTTTCTTCTTCTTTTTTTTTCTTCTTCTTCTTCTTTCTTCTTCTTCTTTCTTCTTTTCTCTTTTCTCTTTTCTTTTTCTTCTTTTCTTTTTTTTTTCCTTTTTTTCTTTTTTCCCTTTTTTCTTTCTTTCCCTTTTTTTCTTCTTCTTTTCTTTTTTCTTTCTCTTCTTTTCTTTTTTCTTTTTTTCTTTCTTTTTCTTTTTTTTTCTTCTTTTTCCTTCTTCTTTTCTTTTTTATTTCTTCTTCTTTTCTTCTTCTTCTTCTTCTTTTCTTCCTTTTTCTTTTTCTTTCTTTTTTCCCTTTTTTTCTTTTTTCTTTCTTTTTTCTTCCTTTCTTTTTTTTTCTTTTCTTTTTTTCTTTTTCTTTTTTCTTTCTTCTTTTTTTCTTTCTCTTTCTTTTTTTCTCTTTTCTTTTTTTCTTTTCTTTCTTTTTCTTTCTTCTTTTTTTCCTTTTTTCTCTCTCTTTTCTTCTTCTTCTTCTTCTTCTTTTCTTTTTTTCTTTTCTTCTTTTTTTTTCTTTTTTTTTTTTTTTTTTTTTTCTTCTTTTCTTTTCTTTTCTTCTTTCTTTCTTTCTTTTTTTCTTTCTTTTTTTCTTTTTCTTTCTCTTCTTTTTCTTTTCTTTCTTTTTTTTTTTTTCTTTCTCTTCTTCTTCTTCTTTCTTTTTTTTTTTCTTTTTTCTTCTCTTCTTTTTCTTTTCTTTTTCTTCTTCTTCTTTTCTTCTTCTTTTTCTTCTTTTTTCTTCTTCTTCTTTTTTCTTCTTTTTTTCTTCTTCTTTCTTTTCTTCTTTTCTTTTTCCTTTTTCTTCTTCTTCTTCTTCTTTTTCTTCTTCTTTTCTTCTTCTTTTTCTTTTTAAATTATTTCTTCTTCCCCCTTTAATTTGAGAGAAGGCGGAAATTTAGTTTCCTATATTTTTCCCTCTGCATCTCTAATCTTCAAAAGAACTGGAGCATTTTTGACATCTTCAGGTTTTGGGTGCGGGTAGGCTCCTCTCAGATTTATTTAAAGGTAACAGAGACCAAAAATGGACGGGGATGAGCGGCACTTGGGTCATCAATGGTGGGTAGCTTTGCGCCGGTTTATCCATTCATTATCGCTTTGCACTGGTCTGGTTATGTTGGGGCGGCGGCTGAGGGGAGGGAAGTATAGAGGCTCGGGAGAGACGCGTCGGAGGGTTTTGCACCCTTTGGGGGAGCATTGGGCGGGGAGAGAATGGGTCAGGGGCCGCCTGGGCAGTCAGACTTTGTGGAGTCGGGGTTACACTGGGGGGAGGGGAGAAAAGGCCCGGGCCGGCCACGGGGGTGGAAATTTCGCGTTATTCAAGAGGGTACTCGCTCGGAGGTTTTTGATCGTTTGCACAGGGCGGTTCGGNGTGCAAGTGATTGTCAATCTTTGATTCATTCATTTAGTATACAACGGATCAACACGTACAAAAAACCCAATCAACAGGCGCAAACGCAGAAGTGCAGTGATGTCAATCTTGGATTCATTCATTCATGTGTACAACATGAGCCACACGTACCCGGAGTGCAGTGGTGTCAATCTTGGATTCATTCATTCATGTATACAACATGAGCCACACTTACCCGGAGCGCAGTGATGTCAATCTTGGATTCATTCATTCATGTATACAACATGAGCCACACTTACCCGGAGTGCAAAGATGTCAATTTTTGATTGATTTATTTGTTACAGTATGTTTTCATTACACAGTCACTGGTTGTGATCAATAACAGGGGAGAAAAATACATATCCTTTCACTTGAGTTTCAACTGCAGTCCAATCACTTAAACAATTATCTGTTCGCACTGCACACTTTGAACCTCCAGGAGCCGCGTTAGCGCAGTCGATAGGAGGCTGGCTTTCAAATCAAGCTGCGACTTGCTGCAGCCCACGGCAGGTGTTCGAAACCGGGCGGTCTCCCGGATTCATCCAGCCTCTAGGTAATGGGTACCAGAGTTAACACTCTGGGGCAAATGGAGGAACGTCGCTGTAGCTAGGGAGTTGCGTGCGGACGGCGACACAGGCTGACAATTTCTTATCAGCTGTCTGTACTGGTGTCAGAGCATTTATGGTTTATAACCGTGGGCAATGACGCTGGTTCACATCTCCCGACTTTACTTTTACCTTTTTACTCTGAACCTTTATATATTGCTTTGATAATGACATTCAAAAGTTCCTCAAATCAATTTTCTGGCATTGTCCATCTTTATTTTGAATGTTAGTTTGAGGTGTAGTTTGGGCCATTGACGTGTTGTGACCTAATCAGCTGTGACATTCTCCAATCTCCAGGTTGTGGGATCCAGACCATGAACAGATACCGGATTGTTGGAGGCACGGATGCTTCAGAATGTGAGTTTCCTTGGGTGGTCGGCATTTCAATTGGCTCTAACTTCTGTGGAGGGGCGGTGCTCGACAATCTGCATATACTTACGGCAGCCCATTGTTTGAGGGATCGGTGAGTTGTGTGTGTAAGAGAGATGTTAATGTTAGGATAATTGTTTTCAATATTGCTATCATTAACTCAAAATTAATTGATTTCAACATTATCATAAATGATTTTAGTATTTTTCTGTCTTTCCTTCGTCTTTCTTTTCTTCTTCTTCTTCTTCTTCTTCTTTTTCTTCTTCTTCTTCTTCTTCTTCTTCTTCTTTTCTTCTTCTTCTTCTTCTTCTTCTTCTTCTTCTTCTTCTTCTTCTTCTTCTTTCTTTCTTTCTTTCATTCTTTCTTTTTCTTCTTCTTCTTCTTCTTTTTCTTTTTGCTTCCTTCCTGCATGCATAGTTAAGTGAATGGCTGGGAGATTTGATTCCTGTATTTTTACCTCTGCATCTCGTGATCTTCAGAAGAACTGGAGCTATTGTTGACATCTCTCAGGTGTTGGTGAGGGTAGGATCCTCTCAGATGTCACGTCTACAGGTATACAGAGTAGCCAAAATGGACGTGGATGAGCGGCACGTTCGGGTCATCAATGGTAGGTAGCTTTGCGCCGGTTTCATTCTCATTTCATTATCTCTTTGCACAGGGCTCTGGGTGCGGTTGGGAGTCGGCGGCTGATGGGAGGAAAGTCATGGATAGCTCGGGCAGAGGGCGCAGTCGGACGGGTTTGCATCCTTGGAAGCATTGGGCGGGGAGAGAAGTGGGTCAGGGTGCCGCCTGGGCAGTCAGACTTGTGTGGAGTCGTGGTTACACTGGGCGGGAGTGCAGAGACTAGCCGGCACGTGCCACCGAGGTGGAAATTCAGCAGTTAGTTCAAGATGGTACTCGCTCGGAGGATTTGATCGTTTGCACAGACGGTTCGGTGTCGGGAGGCAAGGGGAGTGCTTGGGGTTTCTTGGCAGAGGTTGATGGTCGGCGGTAGGAAATTTTTCATCTGCTCAAACGAAAGCACTCCATAAGTTCATCTTCATTTCTCACAGGCTGTCCTTGATGCCGCCATTCCATAATTTGCATGATCTTAGCCTTGTTTGTGTTCATTACACTTCTTCCCTATATATGTTGACATATCTTGTTGACTCTCTGACAGATTAGTATCTGCCCCTTGTATATATATGTTGACATATCTTGTTGACTCTCTGACAGATTACGATGTTGCTGTGTTGACCCTGGCTGTTCCCCTGGTGTACTCAGAATGTGTGTCCCCGATCTGCCTGCCCGAGGTCTGGGAGGATCCGAAGAAAGCAGAGTTTTGCGTGGCTGCCGGCTGGGGAGTTGAATTTCGTAAGTTTTACATCAAGTTGAATAATTAAGCCTGAAAATTTATATCTGTAAAGGCCCATATGTGTCAAACTCTATGTCTTTGAATACCCATCTGTGTGAAAATCTATGTCTGTGAAGGTCCATCTGTGGAAAAATCTATGTGTGTGTGAAGATAATTCTGTGACATTATGTGTGTGAAGATCCATCTGTGTCCAAATCTACGTGTGTGAAGATCCATCAGTGTCGAAATCTATGACTGTGAAGTTTCATCTGTGTCAAAATATATATATGTGAAGGTCCATATGTGTCCACATCTATATCTGGGAAGGTCCATTGCGGTGTAAATATCTATGTCAGTGAATGTCCATCTGTGTCAAATTATGTGTCTGTGAAGATCCACCTGTGTCAAAATATATCTCTCCGAAGTCCATTTTTGTCCAAACCTATGTCTGTGAAGGTCTAAGTGTTAAAATCTATGTCTATCAAGGTCCATATGTGTCAAAATCGATATGTAAAGCTCCATTTGTGGTAAAATCTATGTGAAGACCCGTGTCCAAATCAATGTCTTTGAAGGCCAATGTGTGTAAAAATCTATGACTGTGAAGGTCTATCTGTGGAAAAATCTGTGCGTGAAGATAAATATGTGACATAATCTATGTGTGTGAAGATCCAACTGTATCCAAATCTATGTGTGTGAAGATTCATCGATGTGCAAATACATGTGTGTGAAGGTTCATATATGTCCAAATCTATTACTGTGAAAGTCCATCCGTGTATACATCTATGTCTCTGAATGCCCATCTTTTTTTTTTTGCCGGGTCAATCCCCCCTCACGATTGTTAGGCTCATGCCGTGAATAGTGACTCCCATGAGTTTGGGACCGATCCCGGCGCTTCTGGCCAGACCAAGTGCAGCAGAGCTACACTTTGATCTTAGCCAAAATGCCATGTCCATCTGTGTCAAATTCTATATCTGTGAAGAATTATCTGTGTAGGGTATGTGTAGTGTCAAATTCTGTCTGTGAAAATGTATCTGTGCAAGCAGCTTCGGCTCCACCTTATCAGCCAATCATCAGATAGCATTGATACCTGCACAATACTGTATATGCTGGTCCCTTGGAGGATAGGCAGAGCGAGAGGACTTCTCCGCAATTGTCATCAGATATTGATACCTGCACAATACAGTACCTGCTGGTCCCTTTGAGGATAGGCAGAGCGAGAGGACTTCTCCGCAATTATCACCAGATAGGACTGAAACTTACATAACACAATACAAAGTATTTGCCAGAGCGAGAGGCCTTCTCCGCAAGCACCATGTCTCGGAGAAACAAACCTAACGGAAAGCGCAACGGACAGAGGAAACAGCCCACTGACAGATCTACCCGATCTAACTCGGAGGCCAGGAAGACGCAGACAGATACTACCGAACCACAGGAAGACGCCCCTACTACCAGTGAGGCCCTGAGTGACGTCCCAGCGTCACCTGAACCAACACAGCCAAGTCCACAAACATCTCCAGATCGACGAAAGACAGGCAGCTATGAATTTCCTGCCACAATATTTTTACGACAGACCAACTCGGGCCGGACAGCAATCACTACACTGGCAACGCTAACATTGATCAATATGCTGGAGATCATGTTAGGCAAGAGGGCAGTCGCAAAGATTAAGAGAACTCGAGAAGGAGTGATAGCTTCACTAAACAGAACCAACCGCACCTCAGACATGCTGGATGACATCCAACACGACGGCAAGAAAGAACTCCGACTATCCGAGGAGATAACTGTAACAGCCACCATCTTCCAGAATGTAAGACGCTGGGTGATCCGAAGAGTCAACCTGCAATGGAGCAACGAAGAAAATCTGCAACAAATAAGGAAAGAAAACCCCAATGTCAACATCAACCAAGCAGAGAGACTGGGCTCAAAACGGCATCCATTGCCAGTGGCGGTGATAACATCGGAAGGAGAAAAACATCCCGGATAAAGTCTACCTAGATCAAAGAATGCAAAGACCAGAGCAATACGTGCCACAGGTGATCCAGTGCTCTCGTTGCCAAAAAAGCATGGCACTCCGGGCCACTTGTGTGAGCGAACATGAAGTATGCCGATACTGTTCACAACACCATGCCTTCAACAATTGCCCTGCTGGCAAAGCTGGACACAGACTTTAAGTCACCCAATACAAACAGAAAGTGCGCCAACTGCTACGGCCAGCACAGCACCAGGTACCTGGGGTGCCCCTATCTGCAACAATGTAGAGAAATTGCAACCACGGCCATACGGGATAAGATTCCATACCATGAGGCCCGCAGAAGACACGAAGCAACCCAAGGCATAACTGCAGCCATTACCACCAAATTGAGCAACGAGGTGGCTCAACTCAAAAGTGACATCCAAGCTCTCAGAGACGAGAAAGACGCATCCAAAAGGCAACGAGATGAAGACAGAGATGAAATAACAGGCCTGAGAGCTATAATGCAGGCGACTCTTTACACCCAGAAACGGATGACAGCAGAGATGACGAAATTCAAGGAGGACATCATGAATGCACTGGCCACTATCCAGACACAAAAGGAACAACCAACTAAGGCAAGGGAAGACGAGGCGGTAATCAAAGATCTGCGGGATATAACCAAACAACTTCTCGCGAAAGAAGTCGCAATGATCAAGAAGGCACTGGCTGAAACAGAGGAAAAGTTACGAAGAGCATACGAAGAAAACAACAGACTTAACAAGGAACTGCAAGCAACCAACAGAGTGATGGAAGAAAGAGAGAAAGCACGGAAAGAGGCAACAAGAAGGCAGCAAATACAGGGAGCCGAGACCCAGAAAAAGCCGCATCAAACATCAGATAAGAAAACTCAGGCATTGCTGATGAAACAGTTTCCGTTGGGCAACAGTTGACCAAATTAACGAACGCATCATGGAGATGGAGGACCCGAACTTCTATAACTCAGAACTGCAGGATGATGATGTTTTTTTCGGTCATCACCAGAGGAACCACATCGACAGCCAAAATTTGAAGTCAAACGAGGTCGACACCGTTACCCCAAACACTAATACCAGATACGACCACAACCAAGGCCAAATTACCGAAACCCTATGTAGGAGCAGTACTTTACAACAAGGATACGAGAAAATCACCAAATAATACCAGACCTCAGCAGTATAGCCATCAGTACCTGCCCAAGTCAATCGACCGCCGGTCCTTATTAGGATAGGCAATCTACTTTCCCCGGAAACAACAAACAGCCAAGGAAAACCACAATAAATCGATCCAAACATCCAATCATCTTGAGCGCAGCACAGGGCCAGCCAGATTACAAAAAACAACAGCAGAGCGGAAACCACAACAAACAGAAAGTGACAATATTGAACACAATCCAGAATCAAATAAGATCGCGACCAGAAAACGTCACCACAATATTTATTGATGTATTATCTCCCTTGTCAGTAGTTTTATTGATGTATTATCTCCCTTGTCAGTAGTTTTATTGATGTATTATCTCCCTTGGTAGTGGTATTCATTGATTTATTGAGTTAACGAGAAACAGGTATACCTAACTGGAAATGTGTTTTTCTGTTGCTTTTAGAAAGTTCCGATATGCTGACAGCAAATCTAAAGAAGGTGACACTGCCGATTGTGGACAACAGTGTCTGTGAGCGGTCGTACGGGACGCGTTACGTCAACTGGCTCAAGTTTTGTGCTGGCAACTTCATGGACGGAGGGATAGATACTTGCCAGGTAGGAGAAACTTGTCTCTGTCTGTAGTTTCAGGACTAATGCAGAGATTATATTCATCATCATCACAAAACAATTCTGCCATCAAGCGCCGTGGGAAGGATTAATTTGCGATCTAGTGAACGCTCCCTGGCACTGGCTCAAGCAACTGCCATCTGCATTTACTTCTTCTTGTTTCTTCTTCTCCTCCTTTTTATTTTTCTTCTTCTTCTCTTACACCTTGTACCTCAGCGAAGTGTCGGGGGAGATGCATCATTCGTTGATGAGCTCTGTCAGAAGCACTATTAAGACTGATGTTCATTTCTGTAGGGCTGTCATTAATGCCATCACTCCATATTTTACGAGGTCTTCCGCTCGCTCTATACCTATTGTAACATATTAGTATGGCTCGTACCAGGGCATTCTTGTTAGGTGTCCAAACCACTTCATTTGTTGTCCTTTGATGACCTGTAAGACTGGCTTTTTTTCTAACATTCGTCTGATTTCGTGATTTCGTATTCTGTCTTTCATTGAAACTCCTGCAGTTCTTCTAAGGCATTTCATCTCTGTTGTCACAATTTTACCTACATCTGATTATGTAAGTGTCCATGTTTGGCACTGATAGCATAGTGTTGGCCAAAGAACAGTTATGATAAGATGTACCCATTTACTGAGTGTGCATATTTCTGGATTATGTCGCAACAAGTGTTTTGTTCACCAGATTTTCGAATGCGACAGTGAGGCACGTTTTGTTTTCACTGGCACAGAAATGGAGCAAGTATGGAGAAACCCGATTACAATGAAGTTGAAACCTTGACAACTAAGATTAACTGTTTAAAGTCACGCCGTGAAGGCGTAAAGTGTCTTTAATTTTGTCAATCCATTTTTAAAAAGTACTTCTGCTCTTGTGGCTGCCTTGTGAAATGAAGTGCCTGTGATGGTATTTGATGGTGGTGTAATCTAACGAGATGGCCAAACAATCTGATCTGCCGCGTCTCAAAGAATCTATCACAATGTGTCTTTTCCACGTTATGTAGGATTATATAATTAATCGTTCGATTCGGGTGGTTAGGTTGGCGTCGTTTCTCAGGCTTCTCATATCGCAGATGGTGATTTCGCGTACACAGGCTTTTAGATAATGTCTATGTTTATATTAGTTGATGTTATTTAGGAAGTACCCAGAGAACGTGCTTAGTGCCACCCTGACTTCACCCTGTCTTCTGTAGAGAACTTATGGTTTATAACCGTGTGCAATGACGCTGGTTCACATCTACCGACTTTACCTTTACTTTTACTTTACCTGTCTTCACCTTTCGATGAAGGGCGAAATCGCAGCTGCACCGCCTCGCTGTTGAGAATGGGAACCCACGTCAGTGCGTATAACCTAGTTTTGAGGGACGGGGTATCCGTTGGGATAAGCAGACACCTCAGTTTTGCTCTCTGCAGTTAGCAATAGCATCACAGAACAGGGTGCTCACTTATCCCGGCAATCTGAAAGATTGCTGAATCCTGAGTTGCTCAGCCATGGCGATGTGAAGAGCGAGGGTAGACTACTACATTATATATCCCTAAAAACGCAACTAAAGCTAACTGGCTCATAAACAGCATCCGGTCTTGAGGGCTGAGGTATTTCGTCCATGAGAAACCTCTTGGTGGCCTTGAAGGATCGATTTTGGAGGTACAGTTCCGAGAAAACGACGAGGCAGAGGCAAACCTATCTGATTGTGGATACATGACATTGAACACACATTGGCTATGAAAGCACATAGGGCTGGAGAATAGGCTTTAGAAAGAGGGGCTTTCGCGCTTACCTTGATGAGAGCGACGTTCAGTGAAGGACATGCTACTTGATAATGACACGAGTTCCAAATGACCGAAAATTCTAAAGTTCATAGTAAAAATCAATTTCATTTAATTGCGGACTAATAATAATAATAATACAAACCAGCTGGGCCAAAACTGTGTTAAGGATAAACCGAATGTTTTTCTTAAGCCATTTCATGTTGACTAGTTTTTATTTTACATTAAATTATTTTGAATATATTTTTTTTTTTTGACATTCAACACATTATTATTATTATTATTATTATTATTATTATTATTATTATTATTATTATTATTATTATTATTATTATTATTATTATTATTATTATTGGGCATTCGCAGTGTGTTCGTGACCCAGCGGAGTCAGGCTTTTTTTTAATGACCTTGACTCCCAGATCAACCCAGCCTTGAATGGGTACCAGGGACAGTCCTGGGAAGTAAAGGTGGCCGGCGTGATGCTGACCACATCACCCACCAAGTGTCGATTGGTCTATAAAAATACAGGTCTAGCCCTATATATTTCCAGTACGCCTAATGGCGTGGAAAAGGGACCTAATATTATTATTATTATTATTATTATTATTATTATTATTATTATTATTATTATTATTATTATTATTATTATTATTAGGGACTTAAACAATGCTGAAGCATCGTCAGCCTACGCCCTCCTCTCTCTTATATAATTTGTAAGGGAGCCCTCCCTACGCCCTCCCTTTTGATTTCCATGTTTCCTTTCTGTGTATGTAAAGTTGACGGTACCACCACTATAAACCATATTGTGAATACAAATTGTTTGATTATTTGGCTTTCTTCGTGTGAAAACAAACACCTGGCAACTCAGTGAATGCTGTCTGTGTCATGTTACAGGGCGACTCAGGCGGACCTCTGATGTGCAAATTCGGCCATCGGTACGTAGTTTCCGGTATCGTATCCTTCGGTTCAGGCTGTGCCCGGGCCAGGTATCCAGGAGTCTACACTTACCTAGCTCATCCAGACATCCTGTTCTACATCAAACGGGTTATGGGCGTCAACTGAAGATCACCAAATAATGTTCAAATCTTGCAGGCTGTGTAACTTGAAAAGAAAATGGCTTCACACACAAGGTGGTGTGTGGTTGTGCAGGGAATAAAGACACATGGGTGTGTGGTTGTGCGGGGAATAAAGACACATGTATGACCAGCAAATTATTATTATTAATATTGTTTTATCATAATCACCATCATCATCATTATCTTTAAGTACTTTTTCGGTTCTTTATTAATATCTTACCCGGGATGACGTCACGGGACAGTCCAACATTTTAGAGGATGGTAAGACTGGGTTTTCCCGCTTTCTGATGCTTTTAACGACACCAAAGCACCTAGAACTGGCCCTAACCCCAACCCACCTACATCCCACAAGAGAGTGCAGCCTAAGTCTCACGAATGCGTGCAGCCTAGGTCCTACGACTGCATGCAGCCTATCTACCACCCCCTGAAATATTAGACTGTCCCGCGACCTGTAGATTTCCCCTGAATAGGGAAGGATATTAATAAAGCACCGTTTTTTCAACTGACATCATGATTAAACTTCTCTGCAGCTCAAATTTTCTTAATCATCAGTTAACAAGGCGACCCTCTCCACATCAATGGTGTCTGTTGTCTAAATTGTACACTCTTTCAGTTTGTTCACCCCTTGATGTTGTTCACCTACCTGTCTTGATGTATACAATGTACACCCTATTTTCAAGGTTTATCAACTCACAGTCTGCGAAAGAATGGCCTATGTTTTGAATTTTTAGGGATTTGTATCCATGTATTCTGGTATCACGCAAGGATTTGTATCTTCATTTCAAATTCAGGACCTCTTCTACTCTTTCAATCGTATTGGGCATATAGGGATGGGCAAATTTATATTTTCTGTAGGTCATAACGTCAACATCATGCCGGCCGCCTTTACCTCCAGACACTGTACCTTATACCTATTTCAGGCTAGTTCGATCTGAAATTTCTGAAAAACGTTGGTCTCTGTCAGGATCTGAACCTACAGCCTTCCAATCTACAGGGCAGCGTCTAGCCTCTACATTACCGCTCTCCTCATTTGAAACGACAAGAACATATTTCAGAAGACACATTTTATCTCTGTGAAAATTGAGCTTGTCAGTATATGCGCTACAACCCTGTGTTATGATCTCACGTTTATTCGACAATTTTGTAAATATATGAGTAATAAACAGCTGCCAAAACAATGTAAGGGTATACAACATATCAGAACGCAGTGAGTTCATCTTTCCTCTTAAAGGAGGCGCATAGGGCAGAGGTCATAGCTCTCCCTGTGTGATGGCTTATTGCCACCTGATTAAGGTCTAGAAATCTGATTTTAAAACGATGTCGGCTTGTCGGGTCTCGATCAACTTCTTAAGCCGAGCTATAGGAAAACATATCCCGCCATCTTGGCCCAAACCACATATCAAAACTAAAAGATAATAATTATTTTTGCGTTTTGTATTTGTAAGCTGAGTTGACATATGTTTCATGGACGAAATATATATTAGAAGGAGTGTAATAGCTGCACGGGAAGAGCTGATGTTCATAAATCTTCTTTCTTATTCTTCTTTTGACAAAATCTGCTTGTGCCGCTAGGTGTCGCAGTCTATCAAATGATCGGCAACCGAGCCAGGGCGCGCTCAGTCGCTTCATATGCTGTGATGTTATGAAGTCTCAAGTTGTCCGTGACTCCTTCAATCCATCTTCTTCTTGGTCTTCCCCTGCCTCTTGGTGTTTCGATTTTCATGTTGTATGCTCTTGATGCTGGCATCGTTGGTTCCATTCTCATTAGGTGACCAAACCATTTCATTGATGTTCATAAATATTATTGTCAAATTGTTTTTTGGAGAGTTCAGTTACATTTCATCATCATGTAGCAGGTCCTTTGCCGAACGTCGCTCTCATCACGGTCTGCTGAAAGACACTTAATCTCTCGCCAGGTTTGCCGTCTCGTGCACTTTCCAACTCAAGTTGTCACTTTCACCCTGTGCCCATCTTCCTGCTAGTCAGATCTCGCCTCTACTTCCTGCCACCATACCTTCTGCTTTTAATCAATCCGTCGAGGCGTTTGAAAAGGTCAAAATGATTCATTTTCCGAGAAAAGATGCTGTTTACCAGCCCAACTTCTCTGATATTAGGATCGTTTAGGTGATTTCTTGTCTTCTTTGTCCAAGTTATTCTGTGAATCTTTCCATGGCATTTCAGCTCAAAAGCCCCTATTTTCGTCTTTGATGAGTGCGAAATAGTCCACGATTCACATCCGTATGTTGCTACAGGGAAGATAGGAGATAATCCATGACTCACATCCGTATGCTGCTACAAGGAAGATGGGAGATAATCCATGACTCACATCCACATTTTGCTACAAGGAAGATGCGTGCTCTCAACATTCTAATATTTATTTTCTTGCTGGTGTTCAACCACATACTTTCAATGCTGTTGAAAGTTACAATTCAAGCAGTTGTAACAGTCTTCATCATCACCACCTCCATATCTACCAGTAACTCTTTCTGTAAAGACATTTATTTTGATAACGCCTGCTCTTTTCATTTGTAATCTAACTGCCTACGCAAATGGCTAAACCTTAAAGCCCAGCGTTGTTTCTGTTTTTGTTATGTAAATCCTCTGGCAGAAGATTTAGTGCACTTAGTGACAACTGCCCAAGAGGAAATTTTGTGATATATGCAATAGCTAAAGAACGTATAGTTCGTTGTGGGATTTTTAAAGAGATGATGAAGCGTCAGCACCGCATCAGAGGTTGACAGTTATGAGCTTCTAACATTCTCTGGTCGAAGAGGCAGAAGCAGACCAACAGAAATAATGGTGGATTGCTTAAGACAGCGGCATGGAGGAATATCAGCAGTGGAGTTGATCCACAACACCAAAGACTGAGATCTGTGGAGATACATGAAAGCCTACTCCAGCTGGCGAGGCACTTGATGATGAAACTAACAACAGTGAGAAACCACAGCGTTACGGGTCCTTAACAACTGCTCACGTCACTTCGTGGCAAAGTAACTAAGCTTGAACCTTTGCGCTTTGGAGGTCGTAGGTTTAGTCACGAACTTCGTTGTTCGGTTTACCTTCAAGATTTTTCAGGAGAGTCCCTGGGGTTCATCGATAGGGCTACAGAGTCTCGACTTTGATATTTATAACTGTCTGGTGTTCTGAACTGTCTTGCCACTTGTCCTGCCTGGCATAATGGTACCGCAAATCAATGACTGCACACTTGGTAATGATGCTATATGGGCCAGAGGAGACAGCTGTTTTTTATTTATTTTTTTATTTTTGTTATTTAAACTGATCAGTTTATTCTACGATAGGAGATACGCGAGGAAAGCTGTTAACTTCCCCAACTGAGACAAACTGGGAAATGATACCGTTAAACAAACTGTGGGAACAACATTATGCACTTTCATAGACAAATAGAAGATCAAATGGTTTGGTCATATCGTTAGAATGCAGCCAGAGCAACCACCAACGTATGCACATAAAACGATCCGATGTAAAATGTAGATTACGCCTAAAAGAATATAGATTGAGATCTTCTAAATCGATATGGAAGGACAATATGCATTGATACCCGCCGAGCAATGGATCGCATATTGTACCTCCGCGCGGCGGTTATTGGCAAAAGTGGAAATTGATTATAATGACGATGATTGACTGTGGTCTACATCTCTAGTGGATGATTGACTGTGAACTGTCGTGGTCTACATCTCTAGTGGATGATTGACTGGGAACTGTTGTGGTCTACATCTCTAGTGGATGATTGACTGGGGACTGTCGTGGTCTACATCTCTAGTGGATGATTGACTGGGAACTGTTGTGGTCTACATTTCTAGTGGATGATTGACTGGGAACTGTCGTGGTCTACATCTCTAGAGGATGATTGACTGGGAACTGTCGTGGTCTACATCTCTAGAGGATGATTGACTGGGAACTGTCGTGGTCTACATCTCTAGTGGATGATTGACTGGGAACTGTCATGGTCGAGATCTCTAGTGGATGATTGACTGGGAACTGTCATGGTCGAGATCTCTAGTGGATGATTGACTGGGAACTGTCGTGGTCTACATCCCTAGTGGATGATTGACTGGGAACTGTCGTGGTCTACATCTCTAGTGGATGATTGACTGGGAACTGTCGTGGTCTACATCTCTAGTGGATGATTGACTGGGAACTGTCGTGGTCTACGTCTCTAGTGGATGATTGACTGGGAACTGTCGTGGTCTACATCTCTAGTGGATGATTGACTGGGAACTGTCGTGGTCGAGATCTCTAGTGGATGATTGACTGGGAACTGTCATGGTCGAGATCTCTAGTGGATGATTGACTGGGAACTGTCGTGGTCTACATCCCTAGTGGATGATTGACTGGGAACTGTCGTGGTCTACGTCTCTAGTGGATGATTGACTGGGAACTGTCGTGGTCGAGATCTCTGGTGGATGATTAACTGGAAACTGTCGTGGTCGAGATCTCTAGTGGATGATTGACTGGGGACTGTCGTGGTCGACATCTCTAGTGGATGATTGACTGGGAACTGTCGTGGTCGAGATCTCTAGTGGATGATTGACTGGGAAATGTCGTGGTCTACATCTCTAATGGATGATTGACTGGGGACTGTCGTGGTCTACATATCTAGTGAATGATTGACTGGGAACTGTCGTGGTCTACATCTCTAGTGGATGATTGACTGGGAACTGTCGTGGTCTACATCTCTGGTGGATGATTGACTGGGAACTGTCGTGGTCGAGATCTCTAGTGGATGATTGACTGGGAACTGTCGTGGTCGAGATCTCTAGTGGATGATTGACTGGGGACTGTCGTGGTCGACATCTCTAGTGGATGATTGACTGGGAACTGTCGTGGTCGAGATCTCTAGTGGATGATTGACTGGGAAATGTCGTGGTCTACATCTCTAATGGATGATTGACTGGGGACTGTCGTGGTCTACATATCTAGTGAATGATTGACTGGGAACTGTCGTGGTCTACATCTCTAGTGGAT